CTTGCCTCTGTCTCCAGAGTACTGGGATTAAAGTCGTGCACCACCACCCTTGGACCTAAGCTGTTCCTTAATTCCTTTTCACAAGTTGAAAGTTTAACTGGATGGGATCTTACCCTGAGGTCACCATTCTCTTTATTCTATTTCTTAATCAGTTTATCTCCTTGAACACAGTATTTTGCTCCATTCAACGTCCTGGTCCCTCTTTTCTTCTCAAATTGTACATTTTGTATTTTTACTCGCTTAGCTTGCTCCTTTTCATTGTAGATCTTCATAAGAGTGAACGCTAATAACCGTATCTATGACAGAGTCATTACTAGGCTGCTTTGAGATTTCCTCTGCCAGTGGAATTAATCCAAAACTCTTCACTTTAGCCTCAGGGAGACTTTTCAGACAAGGGCAAAAAGCAAGCGCATTCTTCACCGAAATATCACAAGAACGACCTCTAGGCAGCATTCTAAAATCCTTCCCCTCTGAAACCCTGTTTCAACACCGCTGTCTTCCCTGTTACTTCTAGGGTGGCCCATTAAACCCCATTTAGAGATCAACTGCTTTTCTAATCCATAGTCTGCATTCTTCCAAATAAAAACACGGTCAGGCCTATCACAGCAGTACCCCAGCTCTGGTACCAACTTCTGTCTTACTTAGGGTTTCTATTTCTATTGCTGTGAAGAGACACCATGACCATGGCAACCTCCCTTGCCCCCCCCCCCCCGCCCCCTCCAAGACAGGTTTTCTCTATGTAACAGTTGTGGTTGTCCTGGAACTCGCTTTGGAGACCAGGCTGGCCTCAAACTCACAGAGATCCACCTGCCTCTACCTCCTGAGTGCTGGGATTAAAGGCATGTGCCATGACTGCCTGGTGACCATGGCAACTCTTATTAAGGAAAACATTTTATTAGAGCTGGCTTACAGTTCAGAGGTTTATTCCATTGTCATCATGGGAAGCATGGCAGCATGCAGGCAGACATGATGATGGAGAGGTGGCTGAGATCTTAATCTACAGGTAACAGGAAGTGAACTGTGTACCACACTGGGTATAACTTGTGCGTATGAGACCTTAAAGCCCACCCCCACATGACACACTTCCTCTAACAAGGCCACATCTCCTAATAGGACCACTCCCTATGTGCTGAGCATTCAAACACATGCGTCTGTGGGGATCATACCTACTCAAACCACCATGCTCTCTGTATTTCCCGTAGCTCTGTCAAATTCAGCATACCCATGCTGACCCCCAGCTCCTCTTCCCACACTGGCTCTCTCTGCATGTCTGCTGGTAACAGCTGCGCTTCAAGGTGTCCAGAGTAGAAGTCTTCTAGAGTGAGTTCCAGGACAGCCACAGCTGTTACATAGAGAAACCCTGTCTTGGCGGGGATGGGGGTGGGGGGGAGGGGAGGTTGCCATGGTCATGGTGTCTCTTCACAGCAATAGAAACCCTAAGTAAGACAGAAGTTGGTACCAGAAGTGGGGTACTGCTGTAATAGGCCTGACCATGCTTTTATTTGGAAGAATGTAGACTTTGGGTTAGAAAAGCTCATATTTGATCTCCCCTCTTAAAATTTTATTTATTTATTAATTATTATTCTCTGTGTGTGTACATAAGAATGATGGTGTATGTTTGTGTGTGTGTGTATGTGTGTGTGTGTGTGTGTGTGTGTGTGTGTGTGTGTGTGTGTGTGTAGGTCAGAGGACAACTTTGTGGAGTTAGAGGCTCCTTTTTCTATTTTACGTGAGTTCCAGGAATTAATTAAACTCAGGTTGTCATCCTTGCCTGGAAGCGCCTTTTCCCACTGAGCTGTCTTGCTGAGCCTGGTCTCCTCATGTTTGATAACATCCCAAGGATGACCTGTGAGCAAATCATGCAGCCTCTGTTGAGAGCATGTTCTCACCATGCGTGCTGTCACGCTGGTGGAGGCGTGGTGACCTCACTTCACCTCCATTCGCTGCTTCCCCTTCAGTCAGCTCACCCCAGAGGGAAGCGCGGGGACCCAGTGCTGCTGGCGTCGGCTCCTCCTGCTCCCCAAAGCTCTTGGGAGCTCCCCGTTGCCACCCACGTGGGCTCCACCACCCCTCTGCTCCTCCGTCTCCTTGGCCTCTCGGTTCTTCCAGACCCTTCCCCCTCTGTGCCGTCTCCACCCGCTTCCCTGCCTGGACCATCTGCCCTGCTCCTCTGGACTCCTTCCTACATGATAAATACAAATGACATCATTGCAGCCAAGCATCGCATAATGGCGGGAATGTGTTCTGGGAAACGTGTTGATTTCTTCACCGCGGGAACACCAGAGAACTCTGACACAAACTAGACAGCTGAGCCCAACTGTGGACAGATCACACTGTAAAGCCCACCTCCCATCCCGCCTCCCCTCCTCCTTCCCACCCTGTCCCTCCTCCCCCTTCCCTCTCTCTCTTCTCCTGACCCTCCCAGGACTTTCCTAATGTTGCCTGCTCAGCAAGATCACCCACCTTCAACTTGCAGTGGCTAGGTTCCAACACACCCCTTTTCTCTGTCCTTCCTTAGCCCTCTCCTGTGCCCAACAACCTGCCTGTTGGGCCTGTGAATTTTCTCACCTTGTGACTCACACATGAGAAGAAAAGCCCTTCAAGGTGACCCCTTTGCTTCCTGCTACATCAGAGGCCACAAGATGGTTTGCCTGGGATATTTCTTGAGTGGTTGGCTGGATGAATAGGTGGTTAATGTATAGTTGAATTTATTATTTTATTTCACCACTAAAAAACAAAACAGATTTTGTGCCCATCTTAAACATGCAGGAGATCAGCGAGGACAGGAGCAGCAAACTCTCCTGGTGGGTGTCACTCTGTGTAACAGATCACGTGGCCCCAGTGGCTTCCGCCATGTTGGAGATAAATCATACATACTGTGACATGTCTCTAAACGTTAAGGACATTTTCCTGTAGTGCCACAGTGTCTTCCCACACCTATTTGAATGGATTTGTTACCTGCTGTACATACTGCCCATGTTCACATTACCTGATTATTTCTTTTCTTTTTTAGCTAGTTGTTTCCAGCCAGAATTCAATAAAGAATCACTAACTGCATTTCACTAGGTTCTTTTGCTTGTTTTCTGAGACATGGTCTTACTACGCATAGCCCAGGTTGCCCCTAAACTCAGAATCCCCCTGTCTCAGCCCCCTGAGGGCCAGGGCTACAGATGTGCACAGAGACTCCCCATCCACCCACTCTGTTCCTTGTGTTCTTTAATAATCTTCTAGACAGTGTCCACATCCCTCCACGCGGGATCATCCCCTTACCCAGTGACGTTTTGTTCAGGACTCCTCCCTTGTGGTCCTGTAATCGGTCTCACTGCCTGGGTTTCTTCTGATGCTGTTAACTTTCTGCCCTCCTCACTGTTTCCTACAACCTGGAAGTGAGTTCTGAAGGCTGGCAGACTGCGATGGGTTAAATGAATTTCCATCCTGTCAGCTGTTTTTTTTGGAACAAGAACTTTGGAACAAACTCCTGATGTTAGTGGAGAAGGGACACTTTTCTATTTTTTTTTTTTTAAGTTCTGACATTTGCATGAGGATGTCCTAAAACCCTGGCTCTCAGGCCTGGAGAGATGACTCAGTGGTTGAGAGGACTTGATGTTCTTGCAGAAGACCTGGCTTTGGTTCCCAGCACTCATTCGGTGGCTCACAAATGTCTGCAACTCCAGTTTCAGGGGGATCTGCTGCCCTCTTCTGGCCTCCACGGGCACTGTAAACACACGATGCACAAACATACATGCAGGCAAACACTCATACACTTAATAAAAATGATAAATAAAATCCCTTAAAACCCCTGGATCTGCTTTGTGCAGGCCTCGTCTTACGGATCTACACAGTTATTGACTGGCCATCCCAGAGTAAGGCTTCTGTCCTGCACATAGGCATGGCGAGCCTCCTCCAAGCTTCGGACCCTCACCAGTTGAGGGCTGGAGACTCTGGGTTAAGCACTGTCTCTTCTGTTTTCACAGTTAGGACAAATTAGAGAGCTTGGGGTGCCACCCTGGGCTGGTGACCATGTCCGACTGTCTTTACATGAGGACACTGTGCCCCCAGAGACCAAGAGTATGCACTTGTATGAGGATGCTTTTGGTTCTGAGACCCTACTTCAAGTTTGTTTCCAGGTAGGATGATAAATTCTCATGTGAGGCAAAAGTATAGAGATGTAAGGGTGATTCCCCCCCCCCCCCAATTTCTTTGTAGAATGCACAGAGTTCTAACTAAATAGGGACTCTAGAGCTGGAGTGGGCTTCTGAGATGTGCTAGGGCATAACTGGGTTATAAAGTAAATAAGGGACTCAGGTTGTTTCTGTGGATCCTGCTTTATAATTCTTAAACTGTAAACACATTTAATATCTTACCCTAATTTCTTTTACCATCACTGAATACTTAGGGCTGGGTAATTTATAAAGAAATGAATTCCTCACAGTTTGGAGGCTTTAAAGGTGTGTGTGTGTATGTGTATGTGTGTGCGCGCGCGCGCGTGTGTGTGTGTGTGTGTGTGTGTGTGTGTGTGTCTCACTGAGTGAAGGCCGCTTTGCTGGGGAGAGGAGACTCCATGGGGTCCATAGGGAGTACCTGTGGGTGTCAGATGGAAAGAGGCCCACAGAAGGTGGCTACCTTAGCTTTATTACAGTCCTGATCTATTTTCATGATAACTAACTCACTTAATAACCTAGTAATCTGCTAATGGGTTAATCCATTTGAGGGGGCAGAGCCCTCTGACTCAGTCGTATACCAGAAGTCCCATCTCAAAATACCATCAATACGTGGATTTGGGGATTAAGTTTCTAATGTCTGAATACTGGGAGGCAGTTCAAACCATGGTGCTCAGTCTGGTGTACTGTGTTGATTTGGGTGTACAAAACATCTTAATCTAGCTCTTATTTCATGAACTAGGAAGTACCTAAGTTACCCAGATAATGTCTTCAGTAAACACTGCTGTTGTTGGATTAAGCCTCAGATGACAGCCTCTTTCCCCCTTTTGTATGACGTAGGAAATCCGGGATCCTGTGATGCAGTGGATTGAGAGGCATGTGGATCCTGAAGGGATCATAACATCCAGCAAGCTCTCCCTTAAGTTCATGTCCTCTTACACATCTGAAGTGGAAATCAGCCCGTCTTCTGTACCCGTGGTTACCAATCCCGAAGCCTTCTCCTCAAAGCACTTTAACTTAGACACGTATCGACGAAATCTGCAGACCTCGCGGCTGGGGAAAGTAATTCTGTTTGCCGAAGTGACCTCCACGACCATGAGTCTCTTGGATGGGTGAGTTCCAGTCAGGTGCTCTGCCTGGCTACGGTGTCCACTGATGTCTGTTCTCTGTCCTCAGTGCCAGGGGAGAGGGACATATCCACCGTCTTCTGAGCATGGTAGACGGACTCTGTCCTGCCCCTGAGAGCCTGAGCCTTAGAAGGAGGAATTCAAAGAAGGCTTCAGTGGAGTCCGTGCTTTAGACGTGGCTTCGGTGGCTGGAATTGCACTTCCTTTAATCAGCCATTTCAGAATGTCCTCGAGGGAAATTTTGGAAACTAGCGTAACAGGTGGCAGTGGTCAGGTGACCCTTTCTCTTTGTGCTGTGGTAATCAGTGATAAACGTTTAATCTAGGATGTTCTGCAGGGTGTTATAAGAGTGGAGTCGGAGTACACATAGCTGGTAGAGGGAAGACAGGTGGACCTTTGTGTTCATTCCCAGTCACTTCCCGAGCTCTGTCTAATCCCGTTCGCATGTTTGAAGTGTATTCTTAGTGTAAGCCTCCGTTTTTACTTCTGTTCTGTGGCCTCTGTTTGAAGTTAAAACCTGGAAAACAGAAGAAGAGGATTTTTCCAAATGCCACATATTGTTCTGTGCTAATTAGTATGATTTTAGTTTAGGATGTTGGGTAGAAGAGAGAAACTCAGAAAAGTGTCTTCCCTGTGCATGAGACCCAAACTGAAAACTATAGGCTCCAGAAATCACCGGATTCACAGTTCCTAGGGTTTACCCAGGGGGATCATTAGATAGACACGGAACTCAACATACAGAAATGTGTTGAGTGTGTTCTAACAGTGTCTGGAGTGGAGTTGGTTGGTTGTATGTTGGTACAAAACAGTGAAGTAGCTGCTGTGTTCCGACTCTCACACGGTTGGCAGAGGGGCGGTTACAGCGTGTGGCGTGTCTAGGAGGCTCCGCGAAGGTGGGAGAGCAGGGGACGCCGCTGTGATTGAGCTGTACCGCGAGCGGCGTTAATTAGTGGGTTCTGTCTAACGAGTTAATCTGTGTTGCTGTAGGTACTCATTCTTTTCTGTTTTATTCTCCTCAAAGGGAAAAGGGTTTCTGCTTTTCTCCGGCAGTGAGGAATCCTTCTCTCTCCTGGTCTCCTCTGTGCCAAGCACAGGCAGCAGGATGGCGGCTTTGGTTATTGTTGGTCCCTCTGCTGGGCAGGTTCCCGACGGGCAGCTGTCCTTCACCACGGTCCCCCGTGGGCTCCTTCCCAGCACTCCCAGGGAAGGCGGCTCACAACAGCCTACGGAGTCAGGCGTTCCCACAGGCTGTGGCTGTTTTAGGAAGAGATGTCTGAGCAGGTCTCCTTAGAGCCAGCAGGACCCTGAGCCACTCACCGGGTTCAAGTGACAGAGCGGGAAAGCCACAGGCTGCTGTGTTCCAGGCACGCAGCCAGAGGCATTTCTGGTGCCGGCGTGGTGGGCACACTGTCTCTTGGGTGCTTCTCTGTCCGTGTGGTAGAACATCCCGCCCAAGGCAGCTTGTAGGAAGGGGTGTACTGGGGCTTATGATTCTGGGGATGGAGTCTGTCACCATCACCGCAGGGAACATGGCGGCAGGGCAGCATGGTGGCCAGAACAGCTGAGCGCTCACATCTCGAGTGGGAAGCAGGAAACAGAGTGTAAATTGGGGGTGACAAGAGGCTGTGAAACCTCAGATCCTGCCCCCCCAGTGACATACGTCTTCCATCAAGGCCATACCTCATAGGCCTTCCCAAACAAAGCTACCACTGGGGACCAAGTTCAGAGGCCGGAGCCTGTGGGAGTCGGTCATGGGAACCACCGTAGATGCAGACCATGCACCGCATGGATGGACATGGGTGGTGCAGCTAGCGAGTTGGACACTTCCCCTTCCACACGTCTTTGCCGTGCGTCCGTGACTCCAGCAGCGCCGTTTGTCATCTCTTGGTGCTTGGTGGCCATGGGTGGACAGTCATGTATTCCCGTCGTGGTGCACAGCTAGTTGACAGGAGGACAGAACAAAGCAGGCTGACTGGGTTGCAGTCCATACGGACTCTCAGCAGAAGTTACACTTGGCCACTGTGTTCGTATCTAATGGGTAGGCCTGGTCACAGTATAAAAAAAGAAAGCCAGGGAACAAATGTGGTCTTCATGCATGTGTCGTGCGTGTGGAGGTCAGAGGTCGACGCCTCCTCAGCTGCTCTTCTTCACCTCGTTGTTTTGAGATAGAGGTCTCCCCGGATGTGGAGCTTACCGATGTGACTGGCTGACCGGCCAGCAGATCTCAGGTTCCCGCCCGTCTGTGGTCCTCCCCAGCATCTGCGGTCCTCCCCAGCATCTGCGGTCCTCCCCAGCATCATCTGCGGTCCTCCCCAGCATCATCTGTGGTCCTCCCCAGCATCTGCGGTCCTCCCCAGCATCTGCGGTCCTCCCCAGCATCATCTGCGGTCCTCCCCAGCATCATCTGTGGTCCTCCCCAGCATCTGCGGTCCTCCCCAGCATCTGCGGTCCTCCCCAGCATCTGCGGTCCTCCCCAGCACTGTATCACAGGTGTGCGATGCCACGCCAGCTTCTCTATGTCGGTGCTGTGGAGCCAGACTCGGGTCCTTCTGTCTGTGTGGCACACACTTCACCGACCGGGCCGTCTCCCCATGAGGTGTCTGTGGCTCCGACTGAAGGCGGAAGATGCGTGGGGTGACCGGAAGTCTTCATGGAGGTGTCTCAGTCTATTAAGAAAAGCAGCTGGGGACCTTGCCGTGACTATTCCATAGCCCCAAAGTCCGTAGGATTCGGAGTCACCGCGGAGAGTGGAGACCGTCACCCTTTAGGAAACGCTAGCTTTGTCTTGTTGCCTTCTTAACGCCTTTAAGGCATCCTTCTGTTACTGTAAATCCGGGAGGTCTGGCGATTTCTCATCGGACGAAGGCCTTGGCGCTCATCGTACTTTTGGCTTTCACTGCCAAGCCCACCCCACCCGCGTGCTGCGGCAGGGGATGCGGGAAGGTTTCATTTGTTCTCTGGCGTGCCACTGGCTTCATCTGGAAGTAGTGAAGACCCTTCGCCTTCTCTCCCAGCTCCGTGATTCTAGGAGCAGGAGCGATAGGAAGTAGAGAATCACTCGCTCATCACTAAAGGCACTCAAAGGGCATGTGGTTCTCCCCTCCAAAACCAGAAAGTAAAAGCCTGATCAGTGAGTGGTGCTCCCCCAGTCGTTGGATTGGGACATGCCATCCAGTCCTGGGTCGGACAGGCTTTTCCGCCTCTATCCCCCAGCCCAGTCGCTTCTCTGGCGTCCCGTCCTGGCCCTCGGCTTTCCCCCACGCTGTTGTAAGAGGAGGGTGTTCTGGATGCCTCAGGCTGCCTTGCTGGCTCCGTGGGAGGCCACAGGACTTTTTCTTTCTTCCTGTGCTCTCTCCATGTCCAGTTAGCTCAGTCGTTGGATAGAGTCCCAAGAAATGGGCTCCAGGCTTTGTCTGCCTCCGAATGTTCCATGGTCATGTGCTACAGCTGGGCCAGGGAGCCGCCTGCATTTGTGGTGTGGTGTGGTGCGGATGGCACAAGACTGTCACCATCACGGAGTAGCCCCTCCGTGTGCTTACTCTACTGGGGTGTGGAGGGAGCCTGCACATTCTGTTTCCTGGTAAGACGGGGCGCCAGCCCGCTCGGGAGGCCAGCTGAGGCCAGCGAGCACTTGATCATGGGTAACTGAATTGTGAACCATTGTTATTTTTGGAATTGTCTTTTCCTTGAGTCACAGTATCTGTCTTGATTGACCTCTGCCAAGTCTCTGTCAGATACTGAAATGAATATATGTGAAGCCATCGTGTGGGGAGCCAGCTGCCACAAACTGTGTGTACGCGTGCATGCTGAGCGGACTCATCAAGGGTTGCCTGTTTCTCATTTGTAAAGAATAATTCTGATTCTCCTATTTAATGTTTAGTTACCACTGTTTAAATCCCTGGATTTTTCAGGCACGTTTGCCTGTAGCACCGTATGGGGTAAGCCGGGCGCTGTGCCCATGCGCGGTACTGTGCCCGTGCGCCGACACCACTGTCGCCTCCGGGCGTGTCCCCCAGGTGCGTTCTGGTGACATGCAGGTCAGGAGATGTGCTCCCGTCTGGTCTGGAGGAGGGCACGGTAGAGACAATGCAGGGTGGGAGGCAGACGCCCCAGCGGGTCGGTCGGTCGGTGGGCCCGCCTTGTGCGGTTGCTGCTCACCGAGTGTGGCTGCTGCCATCGTAAGGCCCTTCGTCGGTGGGAAAATGACAGGACCATGACAGTATGTCCCCGGTTAGCTCTGGGACATTGGCAGCATCCCCTCCTCAGCTCCACGCTCTTAGCTGTGAGGGCAGGGAAGTTGAACCGTAGACGCTTCCCTGACACCTTGTCCCCAGGTCAGAGCTGCCACCAACCACCCTTGCTGTTTCCACGTGACCACCAGCGCTTTCAGAGGGTAGACGTGTTGTGGGTCCTGTCGAGGTGGAAGGAATAATTAGGAGACAGTTGGCTCTCCTCGAAAGAGGGAAGGAAAAAAACAATTCCGTAAGAGAGCCTTGGAAACTGCTTTTGGCTGCCATTCATAGAAACTCAAGTCTGTAATCTCAGCACCGAGGAGGTTGAGGCGGATTGCCATGAATTCCAATGCTAGCCTGGGTTACATGGGTTCCAGGTCAGCCTGGGCTACAGAGTGAGACTCTGTTTCCAAAATTTTTATGAGTGTGTGTGTGTGAGAGAGAGAGAGAGAGAGAGAGAGACAGAGACAGAGACAGAGACAGAGACAGAGACTTAATGAGAATGGCCACGGTCATTTTGGAAAGAGTATTTTGGTCTTCAAAGTTTTGGGCTAGCCCAGCGACTCAGCCATGGGCTTGCCCCTCCAGCCAGTCCCGACCCTCTCTTCCCTTTTCTTCCCTCCAGGAACTAGCTCCGCTCTGTACCCTCCTCCCGTGAAGTCCAAGCCCGAGAGGACAAAAATTGGGCTGGAACTAATTTAATGGCTGAGTGACCTCACAGTGGAGAAACAGCCGGATCCTAATAGGGGGCTT